CAGGGAGCAGTCTCGGGCCGACGGCCCTCGCTGGGAACTCTGCCTCCTGCACTTGAACTCGGAGTTCCTGGCCTCCGTTTCACGGAGGAGGGCGCAGCGCCCACAGGGAGGCTGCCGACGCGGCCAAACCCCTCGTTCTCCGGCCACTTTTCTCTCTGGGCTTCCTGTTTCCTTCTGAACCCGAACAGCTTCCTTCCCCTGCAGACCTGCAGGTGGCAGGGACACTGGTGGACACTTCGCCTTCGTCGTCCTCCAAACGTCGTGTCCTCTGTCCGTCCCAGAGACCAGTCCCCGGCACAGCTGCCAAGGGGCAGGCCCGGCTGTGTGTGAAGCCACCCTGTCCTGGTGGCCGGGGCGGGGTGGGGGCAGGGCCTCGGTAGGGACCTGTGCTTGCACCTCTCCACGTTGAGTCCCACAGTGTCAGAGCTAAAAGGGACCCTTTGGGCCTCATCTTACAGGGGGGCCACCGAGGCGCAGAGGAGGCTGGACATGGCTCAGTGTCATGGTGAGTCAGCGCCAGGCCGACTGGAAGCCAGCTCCCTCGACAGGTGCGGAGGGAGCGGGAGAGATCGGAGGGAGATCAGGGCGAGGGCCGAGGCGGGGACACAGCCCTCTGGGGACGGTATCCGACTGCGATGGTGTCCCCGAGGCTGCCAGGGGTCAGCGCAGGACACGGAGCGTCCTCGGGGCTGTCTGAGGGGAAGGGAAGGCAGAGGACACCAGCCTTTCTCGAGGAGGGTGGGGCAGGTCCCTGAACTGGAACCGCTCCGGATCCAGCCTGGCCACGGATTTTTCAGACACGAAGTGGTATTTCTTGTTCTGGGCCCAGCCAATCTGGAGGCCCTTGGCCGAGAGCCAGGACAGCCTGTGCCGTCAGCAAGCCACCGCCAGCCGGGGCGGGCCAGGGGCGAAGTCCGAGAGACGGCCCGGTTCCCCTGCCCAGGCCCCCCTCCGGTGCTGGGGCGGCCGCCTGGGGTTTTTCTGCCTCTGGGCCGACTTCACAGCTCCGAGGTCATGCGGCCCCGGCCCCCCGGCCTGGCCCTGAGCTGGAAAATCCCTCGGAGCCCGGCAGCCGTGACCAGAGAGGCAGGAAACGGTGACACCCAGGGCATGCTGGGCGTGGGGCTTATTCTTAGAGTGTGGTTGGGAGGGCGGGGCTCAGAGGGTGGGGAGGACGGGCGCGGCAGGAGGCCAGGGAGGAATCCGGGGAAGGAAGCTTTGGAGTGTCACAGCCGCTGCCCTTCCCACGGGCTGTGCCTGCTTCCGGCCCAGAGTGCCTCCTGGCCTGGAGGTGCCATGGTGCAAGAGGGGGACCCCGACCGATGAAGTTTAGTAGATGTAGTGACAGTAATACAAGCCATCGTTGTGGCTAGTAGGTATCCAGCCCGGCCAGGGTGGCTCAGTGGTTGAGCGTCCATCCAAGAGCCAAGAGGTCACGGTTTGATTCCTGGTCAAGGGCACATGCCCGGGCTGCCAGCTTGATCCCCACCCAGTAGTGGGCATGCAAGAGGCAGCTGATCAGTGATTCTTTCTCATCATTGATGTTTCTATCTCTCTCTCCCTCTCCCTTCCACTCTCTGAAATCAATAAAAATATATTCAAAATAATAGTTATCAAGCACTTTCTAGATACCAGGTTTGGGGATCTGGTACAGTGCCTGGCACACAGGAAGCCCTCAGTGGATGGCAGCCTTATTTTAACCCACACACCCATGCGAAGATGAATCTTTTTTTTTTTTTAAATATATTTTATTGATTTTCTTACAGAGAGGAAGGGAGAGAGACAGAGAGCTACAAATATCGATGAGAGAGAAACATCGATCAGCCGCCTCCCGCACATCTCCCACTGGGGATGTGCCCGCAACCCAGGTACATGCCCTTGACCGGAATCGAACCCGGGACCCTTCAGTCCGCAGGCCGACGCTCTATCCACTGAGCCAAACCGGTTCCGGCGCGAAGATGAATCTTAAATAGGTATTAACCCCATTTGACAGATGGGGAAACCGAGGCTCAAAGAGCACACATTCTTTCCCCGATGTCGTACAGCTGCCTCTTTGTCCACAACTATGTATTGAGTCCCCGCCATATGGTGGCCGTGTACGGCGTTGGGGACGGAGCCTGAGCGTGGGCCCTGCTCTCAGGGTTGTTTGTGTCTGTCCCAGTGAAGCGAGTCCAGCTGTGGACAAACGAGCTAAATCGATGAGGGAGGTCAGGGCCGACTGGCAAGCAGGACAGCAGCGGTGAGTACGGTGTGTTCTAGAAAGGATGCTAAGCAGAGGCCTGTTTTCCGAGGTGACGTTGGAACGAGGGTTGGAGGGGGAGAAGGAGCCTGGGAAAGGCTGTTCCCAGCAGGACCCACAGCGAGAGCAAAGGCCCTGGGGTGCGAATAAACCTGGTTTCCGGGAGGCCCAAGGAGGGGTGTGGGAGGAGGGGCGTGAAAGAGGGGACCAGGGTCCCTGGGTCCCAGCTGCCTCCAGGCCCAGGGCAGGGACCGGATGCCAGGAGCTGTTGGTGGCAGAGGCTGAACTTGAGTCTGGGAAGTGCAGCCTCCAGGCCCGGCCCAGGCTCCGCCCCTTTGGCCCCGGTCTCAGCCCAGCCTCGGAGCTGGGCGTGCTCAGGGGCGCCTGCCCTGGCCCCTCCGCCCTCCCGGTCACAGGACAGGCAGAGCCACTCCCATGTCCCAGCCCAGGGGCCCGGGGCCTGTGGTTTCCCACTGAGCAACAGGAGAACGCCTAGGGCGGGCGAGGGGCGGTCAGCCCTACGGAGGGAGCCGCCTCGCACACCCAGGCTCTGCTCCCCAGGCCGCTCCCTCCTCCCGCGTGAGCCAGCATCACCTGACCTGGCTTCAAACCCTGCCCTCCTCCCGTGACCACAGGACAGCGTGTCTTCCCGTCGCCTCTCAGAGCCTCATCCCCTCACCTGAGCGATGGGCGCACACCGGCCCTCGCCGCGCCCAGGCTGTGGGAAACAGGACCTGGGACGGGAGTGTCAGCTGAGAGCTGGCCAGGCCCGTGCGTGGGGTCACTGCAGAGCAGCTCTGGGGGCCGGTGGCCAGGCAGCCACGCAGGGCCTGAGCTTTGAAGGCCCCACGCTTAGTTGTAGGCCCAGCAATTGCTGTTTTGAAATACGTAAAATTTGCCCGGCCGGCGTGGCTCAGTGGTTGAGCGTTGACGTATGAACCAGGCGGTCACAGTTTGATTCTCAGTCAGGGCACAGGCCCGGGTTCGGGGCTCTATCCCCAGTGTGGGGTGTGCAGGAGGCAGCCAATCAGTGATTCTCTCTCATCATGGATGTTTCTATCTCTCTCTCCCTCTCCCTTCCTCTCTGCAAAAAAATCAATAAAATATATGTTGCGGTGACCTATGAACCTATATGATAGAAGACGGTGACTTTGAAAATTCTTTGAGTCACCATCATTTGCATTTTTGTCTCAGGGCCCCCACACCAGGCAGAACCCGACCACTGTGTGCCGAATAGAGGGACCAGGCTCCTCTGCCTCCGCGGTGACGGCTCCGGCGTCTCCCTGACCCGCCAGCCACCCCAGGTCTGACATGACTTACCGTCCGGCCCTCCGGGTCTTGCCTGGAGCCAGTGATGAAATCTCTCCTCAGAGAACTGGGTCGGGTCTTCCAGGAAGCAGGCAGGCCCGCGGGAGGGGCTGCGGGGAGCCGCGGGTCACCTCGATGGTTATCCAGATAAACCTTTCCGGTTCCCCTGCATGCGCCCGGCCCTGCCTGGAGGCGGTCGTCCGCAGAGGGTCTCCGCCCCCCGTGGGCTGATGGAGGAGGGTCCTTCGGGGTGGTCTCCGGGGCTCAGGGAGAGGAGACCCCCGCCCAGAACAGCACTAGCAGATAGTTACCCGAGTGCCTACTGTGTGTCGGGCGCTGTTCCAGGCACGGGGGACCCAGCAGAGGGCAAAGCAGATGACACCCCTGCCCGGGGTGGGGTGGGCCTCTGCCGGGGTCTGACAGCTTCTCCTGGGAATTCTCTTCCCGGAGGGCAGACCCCGGGGATCCCACCCACTGAGCCCACAAATGTTGGTGGGTTTTGTCAGGGACACGGTCAGGTACCTGTCAGCAGTTGCAGGTGGGAGCGTAACCCTGGCCCCCGGACTCCGTGGGGGGGGAGTCTGTCCGGAAAAGCCTCCAGGCGGGAGGGCAGCCTGGCCGTGGCCGTGGCTGGAGCCTCCCCGAGGGGCAGCTTATAGGAACCTCTCCGAAGCTTCGGGGTCACGGACACTGGGAGACGCCACGCGCAGGCCTCAGATCCTGAAACGCTCACGGCCCTTTCCCGGGCGAGTTCATCGCAGGTTGCAAATCTGCCGCCAGTCGAGTGCCTTCCGGACAGGACCGGCTCCAAGTCCCTCGGCCCGTGAAGACCTGGAGGCGCGGACCCCCAGCCTAGTTCTTCCTTGAACACGCCTGGGCCGGGGCC